TTTTTTTTTGTTTAATATATACTTGCTGTTTATATAATAAGAAATATAATTACAAAGAAACGTTTACATACAAAAAAAGTGAATTTATAAAAAACAGACAGGGGCTCAAAGAAGATACGGATGACTAAAGTCACCACAATCTTTTCATAGAGCCCCTAAGTGGGCTTTACAAGTTAAGAAAAAAAGTATCTCCAATATAATAAGAAGGTTAAAGCTTGCATAAATATTTCCATTAAATCAAGAAAGTAAATAACATATAGTTTTATCGATGTTAATTAAAATATATTTGCAACTAAATAAATTAAATATCAAAATAAGAGCCAATTAACAAGTAAAAAAACTAAGAATAATGGAACTTGATTTTCATTTCGAAAAATTAAGAAAACTATTCATCTAATTTAAAAATTTCATTTTTTATTATAAACTTAAAGGAATTTAATAATTGTACAGTATTTAAATTTTTTTGTTTTTTGGAGAGTGTTCCATAGTTTTGATCCGCGGTATGATACTCCATATTCAGAATACTAACTAATAATTCTTGGTAATTTATAAGTATTCCATTAGTTTATTCTCAGAGTATATTTTTTGTCAACATTTTTTGTAAATTTATCATTAAAGTTTTTTGGAATCAAGCAGTTGTTACATTTATACATAAAAATTAGGTGTTGGTAAATGTTGATTTCGTATATATTTATCGTTTTCATGTCTTCCATTAATGGTTTTGCATGTTCATATATTTTTTATATATATATATATATAAGTCTGCATGCATATTTTTGTAAAGAAAATATTTTTTTAAGTTTTGTTGGTTGAGTACTAGCCCATGTGATATTGGCATAGTATATGAAACAATGTATTAGGCCAAAATATACTAATTTCAGACTTTCTGATGTTACATATGCTTAATGATAAGATGAATTTTGTCTTCTTCAAGCCCCAGTCATGTAAATATTTGTTTTTATAAATTACGAGTGTAAATTATTTTCAATCGGCAAATACAATAAAAAAAAAAAAAAAAAAAAAAAAACATATGGACGAATACGGTACATCAGACCAATTGTTTTACTAATTTTTGATTGAATGATTTTTGATGCATTATTAAAATCATTTACATAAATCAAGAAAAGCAATGGACCCAGAATTGACCCTTGTGGAACTCCACACAAAATATTAAGTTGACCTGATTCCTTACTAATAACATATTGTTTTCTCTCAGTGAGGTAGCTTTTTAACCAATCATAGGTTTTATTTATCACTCCGTAGTGTTTTATTTTTTCCAAAAGAATTAGGTGATCAACCGTATCAAATGCTTTTAATAGGTCAATAAATAATTCTAGAGTGAAGCTATTATTTTCAAATCCTTTAGTAATTTGGTTTACTATTTCAATTATTGCGTGTTCTGTTGAATGTTTTTTCCGAAAACCAAACTGTTTTGTGTAAAATAAACTATTTTCATTAAAATGGTTATAGAACGTGTAATTATAAATTACACGTTCAAATATTTTTGAAAATACAGAAAGTACTGATACAGGTCTATAATTAGAGATTTTAGATTGATTATTATTTTTGTAAATTGTAAATGTTTCAGATTGATCATTATTTTTGTAAATTGTAAATCTTATTATGTATCCTTACGAAATTTTATGATTTTGTTTTTATTTTTTAAATATGTCATCCGAATTAAATGAAAAAATAATGGGGTTACGGCGAAAATTTTTTTTTGGTAAAACTGCTGGCAGCTTAAGTCTTAATATATTATGCCGCATCTATTCTCGCTCACCCGGGCCAGGTTAAATGCATTGGGTGAATATATATTAGTTTGTACTTATCTTATATTTTTAATCTTTGAAGTATGTTTTTGTTTTATATTTTGATAATCGATAGATTTAAGTTTTTAAAGATCAAACCAGACTTCATTTTGAATAATAATAATTCTAATAATTCTTTTGAGCATGCGCGAATTTTTAAAGTCATGGAACTGATTTGTAGACAACAATTTAACGCCTTTAGTAATTATGAACGTTGCGCGTCTGAAACTTTATTTTAAATTGTTTTATTTTAAAATAAGGACTGTTGCAATTTTATCTTATTATAATTATTGTTTTCAGCTTTTAATAAATGTATATTACTGGTTTTTTAACTTATAATATTACCGAATATTGCTGATTATATGGAAATAAAACTTATATCTATATTTTAAAAAAAAAACATTCTACGTAACAATATATATTTTCTTTTTTACAGAATGGTTCTTTCGATTTCCTGGATGCTTTATTTTTGTAAATGGGTTCAAACCTCTAAAAGTTATAAGTTTGGTGCAATATAGAGTTACGTTATTGGAGAATTAGAAAACGTAGAAATGTCTATTACTGCTTTGAAATGATTAAAAACTAAAATTAAAAGCTATTATATAATATTTGAGAAAAAATGTACAAAAATCAAAAAGACATCAACGGCGCTTCATGAGCACCTAAACTATTACTACCTAAGTAAAAACTTTGAGTTTACTGATCATATATTTCAAAATGTGTTTCCTAACAAAATATCGCAAAAATCAAGCCTAGCCGGCTAACAAAAATATTTAGCGCTTGTGGTATTAAAGATCAAAAATGCAAAGTTCAACCAAAAGCGATTCTACAAACAAAATGAGGAATAATGGGGGGGGGGGGGGGTGAGTTAACCCCGTGCTAGTAGCAACTAGCATGCTAAATTTGGGCGTACATGTCATAAGTGAAACAATTATAACGGTAAAAAAGTGAAAGAATTGTCAGTGGTTCAATGTTAATTGCATAAACATACGTTGCATAATATAAGCTTCCAAGTCAACTATTCAAAAAGAAACTTAAAAAGAAGTTGAAAACCAATTGCAATTAACCCAATTGCTTACCGCAGCCTTAGAACAAACATTTTACATTCAACATGTTGACACAGAATAAGGAAAAATTAAAACGTGCTAAGTTAGGAAAGAAGTGTCTGAATAAACTTGAAATACTCGAGACATTAAAAGCTGTTGACAGAAAAAAAGCAAAAGCAATCAAAAAGGAAACCAACGAAAAAAGTAGTCTCACAAAATGGTATAAAAAATTGTGCCATATTGTGAGACTCCTTGCTAAAAAAGCATTTTAAAAAAATGTCGTCGGTATCATGTTGAACAGAATTCAAAAAATAAGGCAGTCTCTACTGCCTTATTTTTATTTTTCAAAACAAAAATAAAAAAAATCTTTTATTTCCCACTGATTACCCAACATAACCCAGTAATTTTGAACTTGAAAATAACATTGGTAGAGACTTTTTCTGCGTCGCGCAGAAAAAGGAAATTAAATAAAAATTGAAAAATAAAAAAATGAAAATTTGAAAGTAAATGAAAATTGAAGGAAACTTATAAAAATTGGAGAAAAGTAAATGAAAATTGGCTTCAATGCTTAAGTTACAATCACCGTATATATGTGTATCTATATGTATATATATGTTATTTTTTATGTTATACTTCTTCCTAATAACACAACAAATTATATTGAAAAATATAAGTTATGAAAAAATAAAAAAATAAGTACTGAAAAAAATAGTTATAAGTATCTCATGAAAATATTTTAAAAAAAGATTCTCGACGAAAAGACTTCACACAGTTTTCTGCGAGTTTTCCTTGTCTAAATTACTAAAGGTTTATTTTTTCCTTTTTTAAGACTTATTTTGTCTTTTCAAAATATAAACTGTAAAACTATTTTACTTCATTTTATTACTTTGTACATTAAATATATTTTAATATTATTTCAGTTATTTTTGAAGCATTTTTACTGTATTTGTAAAAAAAGTATATATTGTTAAAACTATTTGTAATAAAAGTATGTATTGTTAAAACTATGTAGTTGTAAAAAGTATACGGAAAAAAAAAATTATAATATTAGTTTTACTGCTTTGTAACCATCTTTTTAAGTAGCTGTAACAAGCTTTTTTGCACCAGCGCAGGTTTAACGGTTTCCATTTAACTTTATACCATCACTTAGAAGTTTAAAAAAAAAAAGTTAAACCTTTTCCCTGTAAAAATAAACTCTCAGGCATTTCATTTGATTTTTTTTTTTTTTTTTAAATTAGATATTAATTAAGGTTATAACTTAGATATTTTTTCTATAACTTTATTTCTATTTTTTGGTTAAAAATTAAAGGTTGTAGAAATTTTCAAACAAAAAAGTTCGTGAAAATTAAAACTAAAATAATACTTTAACAATAACTGATATTAAAATATTACTCTGTTTTATCTCTATATTCTATTAGCTATAAAAATTTGGATGCATAGAGTAATTAAAAAATTCAGGAAATAATAAAAATGGTTTAAAAGTATCTTCAGATAATAGATTGTACCATTTTCTATATAACAAATCATATTTACCGTGATCTATATAATAGATCATAATTATCACATCCTAATTTCCTATAAATCTTTTTATAAAATTTATCATACTTGTATTTATCATATTTGCATTTTTTACAAATATTTAATTAAATATTTCATAAATATATTACCAACTTTTTAAGACTAACCGTTAAAAAGAGTGAATAGTGATAAATGAATAAAATAAATTATGGTAAATGAGAAAATGAGATGTTCGAAATGATACTTTATCTGCATCTTTTACAGCCTGCGGTTCTTAAGAAACTTGAGTTAGCAGCTGTTTATCGTCACTTTAATTAGAATTGGCAATCGTTTTTTGTCAGGTATACATAGAGTTAGCAGTCGCTTTTCGTCAGTTATATAGAATTGACAGTCGCTTTTCGTCAGTTATATATAGAGTTGAGAGCTGCTTTTTTTCAAATCGCAAATTTTATGTTTTGTTTTTGGTTTTAAAATTAAACTTTGTAGCAACTTGCGGAATATTTCAAAAAAAGAAAAATTTTGCGAAATATTTCAAAAAAAGAAAAACTTTTATGAATAAATCAAAGAAAAAAAATTCAAAGTCAGTCAAACTTTAAAACAAAATTTACACTTTAAATAAAATTTACAGTTTAATAATTCTTATCCAACTTTTTCTTATTTCATAATAATAACATTGATTACATGAATGAACTTAATATTCATCTCCTTCGCCAGCAGCTTCCTCATCTACCGAATCAACGCCAACCTCTTCGTAATCTTTTTCCAATGCCGCCAAATCCTCGCGTGCTTCAGAGAACTCACCTTCTTCCATACCCTCACCAACATACCAATGAACAAAAGCACGCTTAGCATACATGAGATCAAACTTGTGGTCGAGTCGTGCCCATGCTTCAGCAATTGCAGTTGTGTTGCTTAACATACAAACAGCACGTTGAACTTTAGCGAGATCACCACCAGGTACAACTGTTGGAGGTTGGTAGTTAATACCAACTTTGAATCCAGTTGGACACCAATCTACAAACTGAATTGTGCGTTTTGTTTTTATTACAGCAATAGCTGAATTTACATCTTTAGGGACAACATCACCACGATACAGAAGACAACATGCCATGTATTTTCCATGACGGGGGTCGCATTTTACCATTTGATTTGCAGGTTCAAAGCATGCATTAGTTATTTCTGAAACAGTAAGTTGTTCATGGTATGCTTTTTCAGCAGAAATGACCGGCGAATATGTAGCCAAAGGGAAATGGATACGAGGATATGGTACCAAGTTAGTCTGAAACTCAGTTAAATCAACGTTTAAAGCGCCATCAAATCTTAAGGAAGCAGTAATAGATGATACAATTTGGCCAATTAATCTGTTGAGGTTAGTATAAGTTGGTCTCTCAATATCTAAATTACGTCGGCAGATGTCATAGAGAGCTTCATTGTCAACCATAAATGCACAATCAGAGTGTTCCAAAGTAGTATGTGTGGTTAAAACCGAATTGTAGGGTTCAACTACAGCTGTAGAAACTTGTGGTGCAGGATAAACTGCAAACTCTAGCTTTGATTTTTTTCCATAATCAACAGAAAGACGTTCCATAAGTAATGAAGTAAATCCTGATCCAGTTCCTCCACCAAAGGAATGAAAGATCAAAAATCCTTGAAGACCGGTACATTGGTCAGCAAGTTTTCTAATTCGATCCAATACCTGGTCAATTAGTTCTTTACCAACAGTGTAATGGCCTCGTGCGTAATTGTTAGCTGCGTCTTCTTTTCCTGTGACAAGCTGCTCTGGATGAAATAATTGGCGATATGTTCCTGTGCGTATTTCATCTAAATAAAAAAATGCCTTACATAAAATTTAATCTATCTACTGTAACAGTGTAAACATTCAGGTATATGTGTACAAAAGAAAAAACTAATCTTTTGATGCGCACTAATATAAAATGCTAAAACACGTTTACGCAATATAATCACGAAAATGTAATAAATGAGAGTAAATCTTTTTTGCTATTATATATCAATTGTAGTCGAGGGGTTTGAATCTCACACCTGTAGTTAAAAAACAATTCATTAAAATTTATAATATTAGAAATTCACTAGTTCTATTTTGGCCTACGACCACATATACATCTAGATAATATTTAAAAACGGCGGCCGAACGTTTTATTTTAAAGAATATTGGTTTATTAGAACATCAAATTATTCCGGTAATTTTATTTCCTTTCTACTTTAAATTCACATTTGGATGGTTAAACGTCAAATCAGCTTATACAACAATGTTTAAAAAATTTAGTTTATATTTAAAATATGATTTATGTAGTGTTTCTTTACAAACACCAATATACAATACTCTATAAGTCCACTGAACAGCAATTACTTTTAGTTTGTTTAGTGTAGCGGTTTTGGTTGAAAACTTTTAAACTTTGCGTAAAACTCATTTCAACATGCTTGTTGTAATGGCAGGTTTAGCGCTAATTCATCTCCATTTAAAATTTTTTTTATTGAAAATAGAATAGATGTAATAAATTTGATTTCCAATTTGTGATTTGAATTTTTTATGTTTATTTATAGTTTTAAGACTTAAAGTTAATTAAACAAATAAAAATTGTTTCGCATAAAAATAAATTTAAAACTTAATTTAAATGTTTAATTTCTAATAATATCTTTTAACATCATAAAAAAGTTTCTTACCAACAACAGTTGGTTCTAAATCGACAAAAACTGCTCTCGGCACATGTTTACCACCACCAGTTTCACTAAAAAACGTATTAAAGGAGTCATCGCCACCTCCAATGCTTTTGTCACTTGGCATTTGGCCATCAGGTTGAATGCCATGCTCTAAGCAATATAACTCCCAGCAAGCATTACCAATCTGACAACCAGCTTGACCAAGATGAATAGATATACATTCACGCTAAAAAAAGTTTGATTAACAATATATAAACAAAGTTTGTATTTACAGATGCAAAGATCTTTAAAATTTTCAAAATAGAAGTTACCATTTTGAATTTTATAGAAGTTTTGCAATTTATAAATAAATTGGAATTTGCTAAAAAATATCAGAGGTTAACTTAGCAAAGCAACGAGAGCTAGTAATCTCTAGAACGCCTCAAAGAGACTGAAAATGTAAAACCAAAAAAAAGTGTTTTACGTCTTTAAAAACAAACACATTAATGTGATTGGAAGAAAGAAGATTAAAGTATAAACATTTAACCAATCAAGTTATAGCTAAATCGTGATAATCTGCTCTCACTTTCGGAGTTTTTCACTCATCTTAACTAGCTTTAAAACTATTATTATTGAACGACAGAGAAGAGTCATCCTTGGGAGCAGTTTACAAAATATATTTAAATATTAAATTCGAGTAAATAATACATTTACATAATAAATTCTTATAAATAAAACATTTAAATATTAGATTCTTATAAATTAAACAGAACGTGCTAACTATTTTAAAAAGTGTGAATCAAAATGTTTGTGCTTCTATGGAAATAGGTATAAACTATTCAGCATGCGTGCCATTATTTGCCACTAGCTTTTACCAGCAGTTTCGTTAATGAAAAACAAAATAATTTATTCATCTAGAAAAGGTTTATTCAGCGTTTTTTCAATAATAAAAAACACGCAACAAATGAATAAAAAAGCTTCTTTTTTTTTTTTTTTTTTTTTTTTTTAAAATGCTACTTATATGCTGTGTCATCAGCCAGACTTCCAAATAATAAAGCTGGAGGTCTTTATGCGTTCACACTGCACCATAGGGCACCAATTCATACTGTACTCGAGACGTTCATGACACTTATATCTATAATGTATGTTTATCACCCTTAGAATACAAACCACATGGTGACTATTTATAAAACGAATAATTCTACTCCATTACCAATTCTATCTACAAATCGCATTTACGCTAGACTCTAACAACAAATTAGTAGCACAACAACTAATGACTTTCCTTGACTGTTGTTTATTATTCTTATTTACTTTTTACTACACTTTACTCATATCAGTTTTTAATATTTTTCCACTTTGAGGCTCTTTGTTTTCCTCTGGACATCTGTCCTTTTGTACTTTTATCTCACTCTGCTCAACTCTTTTTAACTTATTATTCATCCCTAAGGCGTACACTGCTCGGTGCAGCTTCACTAAAATGCATTGCATTTACAAAAAATCTATTTTTTTAGTCCTTTGAGTTTGAATTAAAATAGCTGAGAAAAAATTAAAAAAAAAATAAATATGTTTCGCAGATGCGAAACAGAAAAAGATAATTCAACTTGAATAATCCACACCTTGTGCTTAATATCTTTTGTTTAAGGAATAAATAAAAGATAGTTTTGACGTAAACATTTATATATTATATATCCCGTCTACACTAGCCGAGTGTGACAGTCAAGTAGTCTTATATTCGCAAGTGTTTATTTAATTTTTTCAACCTTTCTCGACTATTAAATTTCAAAAACACAAGCCGTGACATACCAAGTTGAATTTTGACGAACCAAGTAGCTCAGGTTTTGTTAAAATTTATTTAAAAAATAACTTATAAATACTTTAAAATTGTTTTTGTTAAAACATTTATTTATTTAAATGTTGTAACTTACATAAGTGAGCCTAAAAATCATTAAATTAATATTTTATTAAAATAAAATTTGCTGCAACATTATATGTTATAATGAATCATTAATTGTCAACAAGATTTTGTTAAAAAAATGAACCCGGAAACTCGAAGAATTGAAACTAAGAACTAAGAACCGCTAAAATTAAACGTAATTGCTCGTTGGTAAAAAAAGTGAATACTTGTTTGTTTTTTTACCATTCATCCACAATATAAAAGTTTAAAAATCATTCCATTGGACAGTGGGTCAGAATCAGTGTTAACTGGACAAAATTAATAACTTCTAAAATATTTATTAGATTACTTCTATGATAACCAGATTATCTATATTTCATACAACAAATCTTGCCGCGCTATTGGATTGTTTGTTTAGTTGCTAAGGAGGTCTATCAAATATCAAGCATTTAAGATGTCCCTATCAACCAAATAAACTGTTTATAAGCAAAAAAAACTTTATTTTGCTCAGTTACCAAGCTTAAATGACTTTTTTTAAACGTTAAAGTTTTAAACTAAACGGATAATAATAATTCAGCAGCCGTATTTATTTCTCTCCGTTAAACCTTGCGATATGCTATCGACTGGTTAAAAGTAAAACAGCAGTTTTTAACGCCAGCGATAAAACAAAGTCGTGTTCTTATGTCTCCTTTTGGTTAACGGCAGCACAGTTGTCCAAAAAAGGGTCCTAACCTATTTGGAAATGACCCAAAAAATCCCTTGGAGGGGTGATTCTATAGGTTATGGTGATCATTTTGAAACAAAAATTAAAATCCTTTAATTATGTCCGCAAGAGAAAATTGCATTTAAAATTTTTGCCTAATTTGCACTAAGAAACATAATTTTTAAAAGGCGTTTCCACTGCTAAAAGTCACTAAAAAAACCCTTTTGTTCTGTCTTAAATGTTGCAAATATCTCTAAGCAACATTGTATTAACTTATTGTTTAACTTTTTTTCCTTCTTTATTAAAAATTCAAATTTAAAGCAATAAAATTGAAATATGTTGGCGCCAAATTTTTGCCGATAAATAATGTAAAAAAATAAATTGGCACTTCTGTTAAAAATAAATTTTTCTTCTGTTAAAAATAAATTTGTCAAAATATGCCCAATTCAGCAAAAACTCATGGTGATTGCAGAAAATCTGTTTGCTTTTTATGTTTGAAGAAAAGTGATAGCATATTAAATGATTTTTTGATTCAAAGAGTCAAGAATATTTTTGAGTGTAATGTTAATTTCAATGATGAGAAAACTTCAACTGGCATTTGCAATTCATTTAGAAGTAAACTACAACGCCTTGATACTGTTAGTTTTATTAGAAAGATACCAGCTTTGTACGATTTCAATTCGATTATCATTAAGCCATTTACAAGGTATTCTGGTGCTTGCCAGTATATAATTTGTAGGGTGGCTAAATCAAAGCTCAAATAAAATCTTCTGCAGATTGAGCTTGGTATATTGAATCAAAAAACAAAAGTCTATGCTGAAACTATGCTGACCATATCAAAGCTTTCAGTCCCATACCTTCATCATCACAGCCAGCTGAAAAAAGATGCATTATTTGTTTGTCAGTCTTTGCGGAAGGACATCCACACTTTTGTACTACAGGTACAAGGCGAAAAAATGTACAGAAACTTGCTATAGAGGACCATAAGTATGCTGAACAAATAGCAGCTAATTTAATCTCTAAAAAAGATGTCTCTTCAGGAGGTACTGTCAAACATAGTCAAGCAAGTAGAGATAAATCTTTAAAAGTTCTGCCAGGACATTTAACGAAGTACAAGCAACAATTATTTACTGCTGAAACATTGGTCCATGTTCAAAACAGTACAAATCTTTCCAATATTAGTGTAAAAAGGCTTGCATAAGCTCTATATAACTCAATGGAAATAAGAGCTGTAGAGGCAAACAAGAAACAAAAACTTGACAACCTCAGGAAAAAATCAGTAGATTTTTTCATGATGTCAAATATTTTAATTCTGGACAAAGAAATGAAAAACCAAGTTCAAAAAGTTGTTCACTGCAAGTACTTAAATGTCTTAATCAACTATATTCTCTCAGTAAGAGGACTTGCATCACATCATTTAATTAAACTTGGAATTGATGGAGGTGGTTCATTTTTGAAAATTACCCTCAGCGTAATTGACACATATTCCAAGCAAAGTTATACTCAAGGATCATCATGTCTCCAATCAAGTTCTTCAGCACAGGATGGAGGTGTAAAAAGACAGCTGATTGTTCCTGTAGCAGAAGGTATTCCTGAAACATAAATCTTAGAACAATATTAGGCCTCATACAAATTGAAGATGTGTCTTAAATAATTTTGTGTGACATGAAAGTAGCCAACATTTTATGTGGTATCCAGTCTCAATTTATCAAACACCCATGTTGCTGGTGTGATATCAAGCCTAACAACCTTACAAACTCTGACCAATCAAGAACATTTAGTTCTTTATGAAACAACTATGCTGGATTCCTGTCTATAGGTGTAAAACTTCAATCGGCTAAAAATTATATAAATTTTGTCCATCCTCCATTAATTAACCTCTACAGGCAATCTGAGCTTATTCTTGATGTAATTCCTCCAATGGAACTCCGTCTTTTTCTTGGAATCTTTAACCACATTTTCAAGCAACTTCTTGAAATATGGGATCAAGCACAAGAATGGCCGAATCTTTTGCCCCTTCAAATCAAGCATATCATGCGGTACGTCCAATGGAAATGAATGCAACAAATTGTTAAAGAATGTTGACATTCTTCAGATTCTTGATAAAAAGCATTGTGGATTGCAAGCAGTGCCTTTTGTTGATTGCTTCAGAAAGCTTCAATCTGTTAAAAAAGCTTGTTTTAGAAAGATCTCAGAGGCAGGATTTGTTCAAAATATTTCAGAATTTAAGCATTCTTACTTAGCTCTTGGAGTTTCAGTTACTCCCAAAGCACATGCATTTATTCATCACATTAAGGAATTTGCTGAAACAAAAATGAAACTGGACTCGGAGTTTTCAGTGAGCAAACCACTGAATCGATGGATGCCAAATTCAAGATCCACTGGCAAAGTTTTAAAAGACAACCTTCTCATCCTGAATATGGGGGAAAACTTCTGAGTTGTGTTATTAATCTTAACAGCAAACGCATTTGAAATGAAACTGTTGGTGATTAAAAACTCTCAGGATAAATATCTCAGTCAGAATATATTTGTATGGGCGTAATTACTTATTTTTGTCCGAAGATCTACAGTCTCAAACTTGTATTGGTTTAAGCTAGTTTGTAATTCAGTGTATATATATTTAGAAATATATGCATATCTTTTTGAAAAAATGTTGTTTAAAATAATGCTATGCTTAAGAATAAAATTTTAATATCAATTTCTTTTGATTTTTTATCCTACTAAAAAATCAAAAGAAATTTGATATCTATACTGTATATTGATATACTAGTATAAGAATGTGTATACAAATATTCTTTATTAAAACATAATTTTGAATCTAAGGGATATTAGTTAGTGATATTTGCAAAATTTAAGGCAAAAAAAAGTATTTTTTTGATTTTTTGGCTGTGCAAACACTTTTTAAAAATAACGGTTTTTCGTGTATTTAGGCGGAAACTTTTAATGCAATTTTCTCCTGCAGACGTAGTTAAAAGATTTTAATTTTTTCTTTAAAGTGATCCCTATTACCT